GTTCCAGAAACTCCAATCTGGTTACTATCCAAAGGCCGGCAAAAAGAAGCATTAAGGTCCCTATGTCGACTCAGAGGATGGGCCAAGCCGGAATATGTTAAGGAGGAGTTCGAGCAACTGCTTCAATACCACGATGCTATCAAGCAGTGTGTTATCTGTGCAAAAGAAGGCAGAAGTGATACAGACCATTGTGAACATTCAAATTATAACATCATTAAGAGGATTATAATAAAGGTCAAACATGTATTACTCGTAAAAGAGACGTTAAAGCCATTCGCACTAGTTATGGCTTACTTTTTCTTTCACGCTTTTAGTGGATTTTTTCCTGTTCGACCGAATATGGTTAACTTTTGTAAAGCATTGGGGATGAAGTATGATGCTAAAACCACTGCGGTAAGTGAAATAGTACTATTTATTTTATGACGTCCTAAGCTCAATGACCAGCTAAAGTCATTATTAATTATATTAGGTACACTATAATTTTTTTAACTGCCTCGTTGGTCTAGCGGTTATAGTAGTGCGACTGCTGATCATGAGGTCCTGGGTTCGAATCCCGGGTTGGGCCAAAAAATCAATGATTGAGTTATTCTGTCCAGAAATTCTCAGTAGCTGCCCGGAGTCAGGAAGTTGGCGATGTCTCACCCCCGTGCCTCGGAAAGCACGTAAAACCATTGGTCCTGCGCCTGATCTCTCTCCAGTCGTGTCGGTTTACCGTCCCATCGGATTATGAGAGTGAGGGAATAGAGAGTACACCTTTGCTTGCGCATACACTAGGGCACTATAATCCTGTCCTGCGCCGTTGGCTAGCCTCCGTTGAGGCAGGCCGCGACATTATTATTGTTATTGTAATATAAATCAAAAATGTGATATTGATTATGAACATCCTTTGTTTCTGATTATTTAGTTTTTTTCTTATTTTACAAACGTTAAACTAGAAATAAAGAAAAAATGCGCAGCTGGCAACTTTTAATGTTTCAAGTTAATGATGTCGTAGACAAGACTAACCTTTTTTTTTTTTTTAACATGGGGAAATGCCTACGCATACCCGTCTCGCGGGGGCAAGGACGGGTTATGTCGGACTCGCACCGACTAAAACCCCATGGTGTTCCACCTTCGTCGCATATTGGCAGGGCTACGGGAACGCTTTCGCACACTTCCGCGGCCCTACCAGCGACTGCCGTCCCATGGCAGCACCTCCTCGGGAGAGGAATATTCCTCCCCGTTCTCCTTCCCAAGTAAGGCGCACCAGAACACATGGCACGCCTTCCTCCACGGCCTCCAATTGCATCTGCGCAACAGACGCCCCCGCGTCCGATGCGCGAAGGCCATGGGGCCAGGAAAAACGAGCATTTAGAAGTACTAGCCTTCCCGACCCCAGCGGCGGATCTGGTCTATGGCTCCGCCGCCAACCAAGATTCGGCTGCGAAGGATAGGGAGAGCGGCGCCTCGCAATACCGACAATCCTCTCCCCCCGCAGCCCCATCACCACCGCATCAACGGTGCGGCCCCTTTTGAGTCGCGGAGGATAGGGCGAGTGGCGCATCGCCATACCAACACTCCTCTTCCTCCGCGACTCCCCCTCGGCTGCAGCGGGAGAGGGTGCGGAGTCCCCACTCGCTGCAGTCCACCAGCACACATCCGAAGTGGGCTCCCGGAGGAGGAGGCACTCAGAGTGGCCACCTCAGGCCGGCCCTTCACTTCAGGCCAGCCACGTGGGTTCCTCTTTGTTCACCGTGGGCGACCAAGCCACGGCTACTAAGCCCCCCCCGCCACGACAAGGCGGGAACCCGTTCGGGGGGGCTGACAAGACTAACCTAAAGAACATTTTCGCCACTCTTGAATTATTGTTATCACATGTCCTGTATTAGGCATATGCTTGAGCTAGAAATACTAAAATCCAATAAAAGATCTCGATATATAATTTTTTTGGTTTAGTTTTGATAAATAAAGTATTTTTTTAGGTAGTCGTGGGAGCTGTATTCATAGTTATGAATGTAACAGCAGCTGTAATAGTAAAAATGACGGGGAAAAGAAAACTCGTCATCGGTTCTCTTTTAGCAACAGCTTTTTGCAGCCTTGGTATTAGCGTCTACGCAAGCAACAAAATACCTACATCCGTCTTCTCTTACGAAGCTAACACATTTCCCGAAGTGAAAGAGACTTTTCCAGTTATACTTTTTATGGCATTGGTGTGCTTTACGAGCTTAGGGATCCCATGGGCTTTACTATCCGAAGTTTTTCCTTTTAGGTAAGTAAAGTAAACTTACAGCTTATATACACACTATTAGACACAGGCCTTTTCTCGTTTCTTAGAAAATTATGTAGCAATTAATCCGCAGCGCTGCTTTTGTATCTCGAGAGACTTCATATGTCTTCTAAATATTTTATAGCTCTACTAACTATTACTTTGGTACCGGTGAGGATCGAATCTGGGTCAGTCACGTATTGTAAATTTACGACGAGCACTTAGTAAAAAAAACAACCTGAGCGTTACCTCAAATTCAATACCCATAAAATTGTCATGCGGTCACATGTGAACACCCACCCACAGCATTTAAAAACATTAAAACTTATATTTAGAGACTACTTTTCTATGAAAAGTTGTGTGGAATTATAAAATCTATACATAATTTTCTATCCTGTGGTCTAAACAAAAGTAAGGTTTTACTTCATTACAAAAAGATTTTATTGTATTTTCATTACAAAAAATATATACCAAGCGGATGTTGGCAGCGTGAAAATCTCTATTATTTCTATATATTACGAGGGTGGCACTGAAAATTTCGGGAATCAAGGAAGTGACACAACATTACTATTTAAAAATGTATTTATTGCTTTTCGAAGTATTCTCCGCGAAATTTGACACATTTTTCCATACGATGGAACCAATCATTGAAGCAACCATTCCATTCGGAAGTTGGGGTCTCCAAATTGGCCGTTTTGTAGGCGTCCACAGCTTCTTCAGGTGATGAAAATCTCTGTCCACGCAATTTATTCTTTATTTTAGGGATTTTAGGGCTTAGGTCGGGGCTATATGGCGGATGGTCTAATAACTCTATGTTTTCTTGCTCTAAAAACTCTTTTGTTCTGTGTGCGGTGTGAGAACTCGCATTGTCATGTTGGAGGATGATGCGGCGGTTGCAGTTCTCTTTACGGAGTTCAGAAACGACCTGTGGCAAACAAATGCTAGCATACCATTCTGAATTAACCGTTCTTTGTCCTTTAAGAGGAATAGTCGTAACATGGTTTTGGAGACAAACGTGGCCACCATTTTTTTTTGCAAACTCCGTGAACGAACAATTTTTTTTACGCGTATAACTAGGATTCGTCACCTGATACGATGTTGTATACAGCATTTGAGGATCCTGCGTGGAATATTTCGCGAGTTCTGACGCACCAAGTAACGCGAGCCGCTTTTTGCTCTTCACAGAGCGATCCATCGGGAAAACAACTTTTTTACACCTAATTGTTCATGCAAGATTATTTGTATTCGACTCATGCCAATGTCTAAAGTTGCCTGAATTTCGCGGTATGTTACAATTCGATCTTCCTCAATCAGCTTACGCACAGTATCAACGTTTTCTTGGGTGACTGCAGTTTTTGGACGACCTTGACGGGGATCATCACTGAGCTTGACATGTCCACGTTGAAATTCAGCAAACCAGCGATAATTTGTGGTTTTTGAATGGGGCTTCATTACCAAATGCAGAAATCATCCCGTCAACACACTGTTTTTTATGTTAAACCACTTCGAAAGTCATAATAAGTCATCGCTCTTGATCTTTCTCGAGTCAATTCCATTTTCTCAACGACTAAACAAGTTTGACAAAACCTTGTGACAAGACCGAGAATCTTTTTTTTAAATAAATAAATGGTATTCGATTTTTAAAACCAAGGAGTTTTCAATTAAAAAGATTTTAATATGACAGGAACAGTGGAAATATTCCATTCCCGATACTTTTAGTGCAGCCTGGTACTCGAAATTATTTACGTAAAAATATAAATTATATTCACACAAAAACTTTTATAGTAATTTTATAATAAAACTCTTATCCAAAAATCAGCACAACAACATCCAAATGAAAATGGTGTACGTAATGAACGTAGAATATAAATTAATATCCATAGACTAACTGTTTTTTATTCCTCTAGAGGATAGAAAATTTCATATTGATTTTATAATGCCAGCATAAGTTTTTATAGGTTAAAGCGCTGTGGGTGGGTGCGGTCACAATTGACCGCTTGAATTTTGACGGAATATCGAAGCGGTCAAATTTGGCCGCTTGAAATTTGAGAGGTTAAAGGAGAAAATAAAGAAGTCTGATTAAAACCGTTTAAAAATTAAAATAGAGCACTTTAAAGGTTTTCAGTAGTTCCAACGCACCCACAACCTAAAAAAGAAATTTCTTAAAGGTTGTCGTGTAAAGAAAATTTCACAAACTACTCCAGTACTGGTTGGCTATTTCATCTATACATAAGCATATAAAAGTCCACTGCTGCCAAACAAAGGTCTCCCGTAGGTTTTGTCATAAAATTGTTGATTGCCTAAATTCAGCTTGCTAGATGTTTATACTACCATCGCTGAAGGAACATGAAAGGAAAGGGAAGTATAGAAAAAGGATGTAACAGAAAAGGATGTGCAGTATGTAATTAGACGTAGAAAATAATGTTTGCATCGAATACCCCTGACTCGATAGGATTGGAAAATGTTGAAGGAAGCTGGAGTCATATCAACTAATGGACAGTAGTTGAGATGCGAACGTTTTTACCACCGATTTTCTACTTATGTACAGGATGTAATAGAAATGGATGTGCAATATGTAAATAGAGATAGGAAATGTTTGTATTGGATGCCTCTGACTCGATAGGAAGTAAGTCATGTCAACTAAAGGACAGTAGTTGAGATGTGAACCTCCTGGTGTAGAACCAACCTTTGTAAGTCTGAAATCCCCTGCTTACTTTGCTATTCACTTCAGCGGCATAATATTATATAATAAATATATTAAAATATTATTTAAATTTAATTTACAGGAGTCGAGGTACTGCGACTGGACTCGCTGCAGCTTTAAATTACCTTATATTTTTCATGGCAACAAAGACGAACTATAATTTAGAAGCAAGTTTCCACATAAGCGGTACATTTGCTATCTACACAGCTCTTACATTCATCGGAAGTTTGTATTTGTATTTTTTCTTGCCAGAAACTGAAAATAAGACTTTAGTTGAAATTGAAGCTTACTATAAAGGTCATCAAAAAATATTTGCTGACGATTTTCTTATAAACGCATTCAGAAAAGAAAAAAGTGTCAATCTTGAGGCGAATAAACCTATGCTAGTCAATTAAGTATCAGTATCGTTGCGTTGCGTAAGATATAATGGTGATTTAAAATAATTAATTTTTAAACTCATATCTTTGAGTTGTTTTACTCGTTAACTTAAAAGGCAAATGCTCAAATTGTTACTGTCTTATAACATTAAATATTTACTGAAATATTGCATTTTTATTTATGTACCAAAACTATTAAAATTTTTAAGGAGCCATTAAAAATTACACGAGTAAAAAGTAAAAATATATACGTGGTTGCTCAGGGGCTAAGAGCTCGCTGTAAATTTCACAGTAAGTGAGCATCCTGGGTTCGATCTCCACCGGTACCAATGAAATTTTTAAGTGCTGATTTACCACGTGCTCGGCAGTCAAGAAAACATTATAAGGAAACCTTTATGTCTTAGAAATAAGAACAGAAATTACTTCGAAATCATGTGAAGTTCGCTTTCAGGCACTGAGGCGGTGCAGTGGACATTCCTCCTTTCCCTGAAACCCTCTCAGAAAAAAGAAAGAAAAATAGAGGTGAGACCTATGCCCAGCAATGGGACATATAAAGGTTGTAACTTTTAGGAACAATTCATTCTACTTCGTAATTTTTAGATCATAAATGCGAAAAAAATAGTGTAAAGGGGCTGAGTTTAGTACAAACGACATTCGGAGTTGCAGCTGCACAATTTCGCTTGATTTCGCTATTTTATAACTAGAATAGGACTTTATTGACATTTATATTATCTTATATTAATACAAAATTAAACCAGAACATAAGAAGTCACGGTTACATACATTTAAAAAGATTTCAATAAAAAAATATTATTTTTATTAATATCCTTAAAAACGGTTCGGACTTGTGATTTTCTTTTCTGCTAAATACTTGTGATAATTGACAAATTCAATTTTACATGGCTCTCTGGAACCTACCTCCTCTATCTTCTTGCCATCCCTTTGTAATACATATACTTATCCTTGTCGGATATGTACACAATTCCACTCTAGCATTAAGGTGGCTCAAGTCGCGGGCTCGAACTCATTGGTGGGCGCGGCCAAAAAGCACGTTGTCTCACCTGGCATCGTGCCCGACAGAGATAGTACCAGTGAAGAGCAGTTAGAACGCACGTCTTGTTCGTACGGCGTTCCGAACCGTTAGAACAAAAACGAAGTTACACGAACACGATGCACACATACATACCACCCTATTCTGTGCCGCTCGACGCTTGCTAAGAAATCAGCAGTACCTACCTACAAACTCGTACTAAATTATTAGGCACTGTGCTACGTATGGCTCTATAGATACCTAATATAGATTGCTTATTTTATTATGTTTTGTTTTCTCCGGGTGGTCATGCAGCGATCACTCAAGAGTTCACGACGCCGAAGCATGAACTGGAACAGTCATCGCAGTTTATATCCGTACTAGCTATTGCCAGCGGCTTCAAACGCGTGAACTCGAAAATTATCCCACAGGAACGAAATACCTGAATAAACGGTATCAAAAAATGTGTTATTCCAGACCAGGTATAACCTATCTCTGAGCTAAATATCATCCAGATCCCTTCAGCTGTTCTGGCGTGATTGAGTAACATACATCTATCCATCCAAACTTTCGCATTTATAATATTTAGATAATAATTGTAATTAGTTCTGCCTACCTATAAATTGTTTTCAAAAATACTTACCTGTCTTCTTACTTTTTTTATATACACACAATATCACTAGATGTAAACACATGTTTTTATCAAGACAAGTGACCCGTCAAGACTGTTTCCTTAGTACCGACGTACTTAGGCAGGTAGTAGTAGGTAGGCAAAAACGATTACTACTGAAAAACTAAATAGGTACCTACCTAACATTCAAATAAAAATATTCTCAAAAAGCTCAACCAATTCAGAATTTAATTTTGTTAAAAGAAAATTGGTCATTGTCCTTATCTAACCTATTACTAGTATGTCTTATCAGTAATTAAAACATTAAGTAAACATTAATCAAAAATGCTTAAAGTGAATAAAATGTTCTTAATTCTTTATTAAATTCGTATTACATAGCCGATTACTATGTAATGCATGTCTCTAATTTAGAGCAATTATCTCTTGCTTTACTCAGAATGATACTCTAAAAATGATTAATTCTAATGTTTAATCTTTAAGAAACAATGAAAGACTTAATGATATGTTTATCTTGCGTCGCCAAGTCTCCCCCTTGTGAGTCAGCACCATTATTTGGGAGGCGTCGCGGGTAACAATACTATCAAACGTATCTCTATATAAAATTTTTCCTAGTAATTTCCGGTGAATTTTACTTCACGGTCAGGTGTTGCGAATGATTTATAATTAAGACGACTTCGCCTCCTTTCGGTTCTATAAACCTGTCATTATCGCCCGTTCGAAGTTGGCATATATTCTTTCAGTCATCTAGACCAAAAACGATCAGCTAACTTCTGAGCAGTCTTTCAGCTATATCGACCGATTAAATGTCTTTCCATAAATAATACAGGTGGACTCTCCACATTAACGTCCAAGAAGGAAATTATTAGGAGTCCTAAAAAAAGAGTTTGGACTGTATATTTATTGAAATAAAAGTAGTTAGTTTACCAGCTGCCACTTGAGAAAGGTTGTACCAGTTCTGGCGCACGACGTTCGTCGACTCACAATCCTAAAAAAAAAAAAGGTTTGGCATGCTCTGATCACGAATCTGCGGTCCATTTTTGCGTAGGATGCACGGTTCCGGAGATGTGCAGATCAATTAAATCTTATCTAATTGATATCCGCTGCGAGCCTCAACCGTCATTATTGTGTATTATGTCACCACAGGTGAGGACGAAGAGAGGTAAGTTACACTACTCGCCGCTAATTCCAAGGCTTGAATTACAACCAGCTCTAGTGGGTTCACGGCTATCTGCAGCCGTTGAGAAAGATAGTGGATTAAAAATATCCAACCGATTTTTCTGAACATATTCACGCACAGTGTTAGCATTGGATCAGGTCAGATCCTCCAACTTTCAAACCATTTGTCGCTCATCCACTGGCTGAGAATCCTTGGATTAGAACAGGGCGTGTAAACAGCGATATGTTGCAACGTCGCATAACGTGGCAGAAGACGCCACTAGAAGTTTCACATTCGATGAAAACCATCATTTATTTCTAGGACCAGATTTACTCAGGCTAAGTATTGTTTTATGGCCCACGCAAGTGGACATAAAAGAAAGTTCAGAAACAGGTGAAGAAAAATCACCAAAAAGCATAAATACGTTAAAAAGAAAAGAGTCGTATATTTACCTGACAACGAACGATTTAGTAATTTCGAAGATTTCTTAGGCTAACTGCGCGAACGCTATAAGCCGTAGAAAAATTCAAATGTTTAATTTTCAATAGACTAGCAAAGTCGGAAAGGTCAATTATGTGTTCCGAAAATGTTTTAGCCAAGTCGGTTAAAGGACCCGACGACGCGTTAGAAATAGCACATTTAAGGATGGCGAAATTTTAAATCTGGAAGTTTGTTCAAGACGAGTGTTTTCACTCGGAAATAAGCTGTCTAAAAACAGGAAAAAATATCGAAAGAACGTTTAAGTAAATTAGCCTGAGAGCTAGGGGAGGATAACCTTCTTCGATTAAACGGTCGTTTATCTTTCAAATTAAATTTATAGAGGAAAGTCGAAAGCCTGTCTTTTTGGACGGTAAACCTGACATAGTAAGAACTTTGCAAACAAAAATTTGATACTGGCTGGCATCAAATGTTATGATAATATGAAGAATGAATCTTTTAAGAAATATATTAATTTGAAATTTATACCACCTGGAGCATCACGTATGGGGGAAGCCTCGGGAAGATTAATGGGATAGTTTAAGACTGCGTTAACCGCCACGCTTAAAAAGAGAAGTCCACGAGAAGAAGTCTTACATGCGTTGCTCTTAGAGTCTGAGCATGCGGTCAATTCAAGACCATTTATTAGTAGTTAGGTTGTACCAGTTCTGGCGCACTTGTAGAAAGGATGTACCAGTTCTGGCGCACGACGTTCGTCGACTCACAATCCTAAAAAAAAAAAAAAAAAAGGTTTTGGCATGCTCTGATCACGAATCTGCGGTCCATTTTTGCGTAGGATGCACGGTTCCGGAGATGTGCAGATCAATTAACTCTTATCTGATTGATATCCGCTGCGAGCCTCAACCGTCATTAGCGCTCCATTGTCCTTATCTACTTATCTATTGTTGATTGACTACCGTCATTATCTATTATTCCTCAGCGTGTGGGTCGGCTTATGCTATTGTATTATACTCCTTTGTTCTATCTACAACACTAATCTGAATCATCAATAAAACACATTACCTAATTTTGTTAATATATCTATAAAATAGGAGCGAAACATCTCATCCACTAAAATATCGTTGTACAATGTGTTCTCTGTAAATATACTCGTAAAACTATGCATTGAACATCCCTGAAACTTATATAGCAAATACATTAAGCAATATTCGCCACAAACTGAAGTCCACTCATTCTGAATCCTATCAACATTCCAGTTCCATCTTTTACAATTTCTTTTAAAAAACTCTAGATGATATCGTACAGGTGCCTGTCCGAATGAATCAAAATATTGACCGACGTCATTCGTATCGATATATAAAGCTACCCAATGTGACCCTGGTTTATCATCTGTATCCAAATTGCATATTATATACGTTGGTACGTGGGTGTACATGGGTAGTTTATTGGCAGCATAAACATTATTTTCTAGAGTGGGGTGAATCTTTTTCAGATGTTGTTGTACATCCAGTGTATCCATAATATTACTGCTATTAGTAGATTATTACAGTACCAATCTACTCAATGACTAATATAGGAATGATCAATTATAGTGATATCTAAATATTAAATTGCTTTCTTTGTGTTATACAAAACGTATTTGAGTCACCAATACACTGAACAAGATACGAAAGGAAGGACGTAGGAATGTAGAGATAAGCAACAGAATGTAAGGTAAGCTTGTTGACGCATAAAGATACTATCAATTCTACTGCAGAAATTCT